AGGAGGCGCGTTCTGAATTCCTGTTTTTGCCTGCTTCAGCGTCCATACGAGGCATAAAAGTTCAATCAATTGAAAAATATGGGTATAGTCCCAACAGAAAGGGACGGTGGTTTTGGACTTACCTAAGAATTAGTGTGGTGTACAGGCAGTCCTCGTCTTACAGCCTGTCATAAAAGAGCCAAGATTGCCTACCCCTGGGTCTAGGGAAATTCACTGGTTAATTTTGGCCAGTTGTGTTCTTTCTCAGCCCAACAAACCTCACAGGGTTGTTGGGGGGGGGGGGAAGTGCAGTAGGAAATACTAGTTAGGCTGCCTTGAGCTTTCTTCTTTGCCAGAAACAGGCATCTGATAATTAAAGAGGCTTTTTTTTTTTTAATGAAACGGAAACACACTTCTCTTCGCGGAAGGATACCTGATGTGACCTATTTTTAGAGCATACGATTAAAAAAAAAAGTGTCATCATTTTAATTCTTTCCCACTCAAGGAGCAGAGATTTTCCTATCATGAATCTTTCTCAAAACATAAAAAAAATCTCAATGCGCGGGCAGCAAAATTGACTATAATTATATTTATTTCCTCTGAATCGGTTTCTTCCCCCCTAAGAGATGCTTAATTGACTTTTAACTTGCTGCGTTTGAAACGCTTTCTTAAATTTTTCTATTTAATTAAGGATCGCCTCTCCCCTTTTTAGTTGCTGTAGTACATGGTTGTTAGTTTATTAATAAAGCTGCCCATTGCAGAACGGCCAAAATGTTTAGTGTTGTGGTAGCTACTAATACAGGTCATCTGCAAGTGAATCCTTGCAGGGTTTTTTTATAAGGTTTTATTAATTTTTTCCATACATACAATAATAATTTTTCAAGCAACGTGCTGTCTGAGTTTACATTCGCTAATACAGATTTGATTCCTAATCCTTTCTTCTTTCCTCTAGCCATCGATAAAAAAAGTCCCAAGTTTGATAATATTCTGTTTCTTCTTTTTCTTTCAGTCTCATAGTCAGTCTGTCCATCTCTGCGCATTCTAGTATTTTTTTTTTATTATTTCTTCATCGGGTGGTATTCCTTCATTTTTCCAACATTGCGCAAATATGATTCTTGCCGCTGTTGTGACGTGCAAGATCAAATATAGGCTTTGTTCGTTAGTCTTTTCTGGCATTATACCTAATTAAAAAAAAAGTTCAGGTTTAAAATCTACCTGTTCTCCCAACATCTTTTCTAACCAAGCATGTATCTTTTTCCAATCATTCTTTACTTTATCACATGTCCACCAAACGTGAAAATACGTGCCTGACTTACGTTTACATTTCCAACAACTATCTGACATGTTTTTAAACATTTCTGCTAATCTTGCGGGTGGCAGGTGCCATCTCTAAAACATTTTGTATAGGATCCCTTGCAGCTGTTACGTTAGTAACATGGCTGTTGAGTAAATGCAAATGATCCTTATCAGAACAAAGTTTGAATAACTTGTGGAGTTTCCTGGTCTTGTGGCTACACCTGGAATGATGCAATTAGACTGACTGTGCGCCATTGTGCCTCATAGCTCCCCATAGTAGAAGGTTTGAGTGATTTGGGGAATCTCTTGAGGAATCTAGACCAGAGATCTCCAACCTTTTGGGCACCAGGGACTGGATCCAGGGAGAGAGGTTTTTCCACGGACCGGAGAGTGCGTGGTTTGTGTGCTGCCTGCATCCCGCGGATGGGGCTTTGCTTGTTTGTGTGGACCGGTTGCTGGCGTGCCGCGGCCCGGTGCCGGTCTGCAGCCCGGGGGTTGGGGACCCTTGATCTAGGCGCTGACCACTCTTGTTTTGTTTTCTCAATCAGTGTTGATCAGTCCGTATGGCTTAAGTGGTACTTTAACGGGTCAAGGTTACAAAATGTCCGATCCGGCAACCAGGAAGCTAATTGAAGAATGGCAGTATTTTTATCCCATGGTGCTGAAGAGGAAGGAGAGCGTGAAAGAGGAAGAAGAGCTGGGATACGACGATGACTTTCCTGTGGCAGTAGAAGTCATTGTCGGTGAGAATCTTGTGTTTTGTTTTATTTTTTTCTTTCTTGAAAAGTTCTCTTCGGCTTGATCGGTTCCAGTTGAAATGTAAAAACGAGGCACCGTCTTGAACTAACTCATGTTTTACGGCGGTTCTTCTCGTGTTTTGATAACGTTCTTTGGTCTGAAATTTGGTGGGTTTTGTTTTGTTTCAGACTATTTCTTTGTGTTTTTATTTAAGCATAAAAGCAATTCCTTCCTTCCTTCCTCTCTTCCATTTTCTCCCTCCCTCCCTCCCATTTTCCTTCCTTCCTTCCTTCCTTCCTTCCTTCCTTCCTTCCTTCCTTCCTTCCTTCCTTCCTTCCTTCCTTCCTTCCTTCCTTCCTTCCTCTGTCCCTCCCTCCCTCCCTCCCTTCCTTCCTAATACTATTAATAACTTAATGAAATCTCATACCTCTGCTTTATATTGGTACTCTAAGAAAGCTAAAATACTTTTTCTCCCATTTTTCTACTT